CTTGCGTGAGTCCCTCATTCCCTCATTCCTGACTAAAGTCTGGCCAGGCATGGGGGGTTGCGGTTCATGCTCTTTCCAAGGGAAGATGGAGCTAGCATGACCAGGTCCCAGGTCTGATGAGTGTCCCGCACTACACCTGGGCCCGAGAAAGATTGGAAAGTCTTGGACCAGATTCTTGAAGATCCCTCCTTCGAATCCTTCGTGAGCTCAGATTCTAAACAAAACACCCTGAATCCGGGCAAGGAAGCCCCATCAACTCCGCCCGTCACTCAAGTGGCCCGGATGGATCCACACCGAACGAGCACGACCAGTCGGATGGTACTGTAGCGAAGGACCGTGACGTCGGTGGGTCAACCAAAGTAGCACTGCCGTTTTGACCACTGCCATTGGCCTCTACAACCATCCACTTTCATGTGAGTTTTCCTCGGAGTGTCCGTCTTGTAGATGACCGGCTCCGTCCGTTCGTCCCCCTTGCCATTGGATCTCTTCAAAGACTGCCGAGAAAGGCCCCCCCCTCCCGGTCTTCGTTCAGCGGTCAAGGTGCCAAGGCTTCGAACGGCGGTGGCGCAAAGGCACAGTACCTCAGGTGCGAGTTCGAAAGAAACGATGAGCACGTTTTCTCCCCGGACTAAAAAGGTCCGGATCGGCTGGTTCCATAGAGTCTACATGAGAGAAAAACGATGAAAGAATCTTTATGTGTTTGAACACCTGCTGTTTGTTCTATCAATGAGACAGAAAGAGGCGCCTATGACATCCATGCAGGTAAATATGACCAAAGCCAAAGGTATGCCTAAAACCACCATCTTGCTCAAGGTCTGTGTTTGGGTCTCAAGATCCCCTCAGAACACCTCCCCCTTCTCAACAGTACAAATAACACAAATAAAACTAAACATGGTGTGAACGATGAACGGTGTGTTCACATGCTGTTCTTGATGTTGCATCGGTGACGGCGACGGGTGCCAAACTTCTTTGCAACCTTTGCTTTGACAGCCCCCTTTTTTCTCGAGCATCACTCTGATCCTAAGGATGCCTGAGCTCCTCCAGTGAATGCGCAGATCATTCTTGCTATCCAAACAACCTTCCCAAAAATCGATACACCTTACACCTAAGTACGACCCGGTAGCAGGCATGAACCATTTCAGCTGAAGCTCTTCACTTTAAAAGTAATAGAAGCTCAGGGATTGGAGTCAAGCGGCTTGAAGTACCAGTTGCCATCCAACATGTCTGCTGTCCTGCTTCACGACGTGAAACCAGGTCACAACACATCCTCTTAACCCTCTTACATCCATGTACGAAAAGGACATAAAAAGACCAATCCCCTCCCAAGTATTCGAAGTCGTGACTATTTTAATTGCAAATACTCTGTAGTGTACCCACAAAAATATCACCAAATACCTCAACTGTAGGCTATTGATTCATGGAATCCCTGGAAAAAACACCGACGCGGTCAAGACACCGTTCCATACCACAACAAGGAGCTTCAAACGGTTGAGCTCCGCTTCCGTAAGGTGGAAACGGGGATAGCCCAAAGGGGCACACAAGAACCCTCCAAAGTTGGCCCAACATGTTGCTGCGGAACTGACTGCACGAAGTCTGAGCCGAACTGACCGACTGACCTCCGCACGTGCTAGGAACTGAGCGTCGACCACGTGGGGAGGGACTCGTTGGTTCTTGGTGCCTTCGTGATTCTTGGTGCACCAGCTTCCCTCCATACTTTACTGTCAAGTGTTTCGGATGCACTCCTTGCCCATGCCCTTTCTGACCGCTTGATTGCATGGCAGCACCTGAGATGCCAGCGAAACAAGAGATGCCTGATGTGAGTGATTCGCCAGAGTAAATGGACCATGCTTAGCTAGAGCAGCAAACTTAAGCACTGCAAAAAGCTATTGGATTTTTGGTGAGTAACCATGAGCAACCTATAGGAATGTTGCAACCTCAATTCACACAAAAGATCAAACATGTTGACTATTCCTCATCTCCCATGCATCGCTACTGAACACCTGCCTTCGCACACTGCTGGACTTGGATCACTGCCAAACCTGAAAAAGTGCACACACACCACACGTGCCTAACACATCCCAACCACACCCCCCCCCAAAAAAAAAGAACACCCCCTTTTGCTCCGCGGCACTCGATGTGCCGCTGCATGGCCTCCTTACTCTTCGGCCCCTTCCGCGCGTTGTACCAGGCCGACCGGGTAAAGTTCACCTCCGCAGCACCCCGCAGGACCGGGCGCCGCGCCGGCAGGACGCGCTGACCGGCGATGTGCGGTCCCCGGCTCTGCGAAGGGCTCGATGGCCAGGATGAGAATGGAGGAACAAAGGGACCCTTGCAAATGGCATGGGAAAAAAAGGGTGCTCGTCAGGTCAATGACCACGGGCCAAATGAACTGAACATCACTTGAAGCTTTTCTTGGGTGAGGCAAACCTTGAAAGAAAAAGTTGTACGCATATACATTATATAATATAGACTTAATCCCATCACCCTCTTGGTTCCGCCGTGAACTTGATCCGTGAACTTGGTTTCCATCCGTTGAGTTTCTTGGAGACTCCATCTGTGCGAAAAACCTGCCTGTGGACACGGACGCTCTTGCTGCAAGCAGTCCTGGGGCGGTACGGAGTTGGTCAACACCCGAACGAACCGCTGGACGCATCAGGACCAACCTAACCCATGGCAGTCCACCAAGAGTGGAGACATTCGTCGGACGAGCTAGAGGTTCATTCGTCGTCGGTTCAAGTGAAAAAGATTCAGAACCTTCAGATGGTGATCCCCTCAATAGAAAAGAAATGGTCCTTCCCCCTTAATTAAAAAGAAATAGTAATAAACAGACACAAGGTGTTTTCCATCGCTATCCTATCTACTGAGGGACTACCTAGGTACTATTGTGGTCCAACTGTCAACCGATTCTCGAAGGAAGTCGCGGTGGCCACCGCACGCCGTGCGGGCGTGTGGCCAGGAACAGAGGCACCTGGCGCAGAGGTGCAGACTTACACGACTTGCAAAAAAGATGGCACATTCTAAGCAACAATATTGAGTTCATATCAGGCAAAATCAAAAGATGCAAAATATGTGTATATGTATATAAGAAGCAACAAAACTGCAATTCAGCAACTGACTACGACGACCAGACTACCCCGCTAGGACTACCCCGCTGTCAGGCTGGCACATCAAGACTGCATCAGCAGACTCAAAACCTAAAACCCCAAACACCTGGCCTTCCAGCCATTGGGAGTGCGGCATTGGCTCTCCGGGTCCACGTGGGAGGGGTCCACAGCGGCACCCGCACCCGTGCTCACCGAGAGTGAGGTCTTTGGACCGTGAGGTCTTTGGATCCAAAGGATGATAGCAATGATAAGCTTAAAAAGACAATATTCTTTTGATTTACTCATAGCAATGGCCTCCAACCTACTAGCAGTGGCCTCCGACCTAATAACAATGTTTCAACTGTGCATCATTGATCCTAATTTGTCACTGTCTTTCACCAGTCATGTGTTTTTAACTGGTGAGTTTCAATGAACTGTTGCCGATCCACTGTCTCGAGCGTTGTTCTCTTGTTCGACGGCATTGTTCCTCTTGCCCCAGGACCATTGACCAAAATTCAGAGAAGGGCATTCTCAGGTAGATTACAGTGAAGGAAGCTTGAACGTGTGATGCAGCCTTCATGACATGAGACACATTGAATGCATTGATCAATAACAATATTATAACGATGAGACTAATTACTAACACAAAGACACTTAAAATAAAAAACGAAAAATAAGATGAAAGTCAGTATCTAGCCATGCAGATCTCGCTTGAGCCCATAGGTAGGGCCATCGACATCGATGTCTCCCAAACATCGATAAGCCAAAAAACACACGGAAGGCGCTTCTCGTGGAGCGCATGTATTTTTTGCGGGAGAAGTCCAGTCGATGCTCAGATGGTCTGTGAAAAAGTCCAATCTTCCACACCAAGCCTCTTCCCCACGAAGCTGTAGTGGATGAGAGTGGATGGCACCCTAAGATGTCTTTTATATAGGGACCCATGTCTTCAAACAAACACACCCTCATGAGCATTCCCGAGGCCAGCAGATTCATCATCTCAAGGGTCTCCTCAGGCATGGGGTCTGATGGCAACACCCGGTCAGCTCATTTGTCCCACAGAGGACCGAAGTCCGTCGATCGCCCTTTCGCCCGGACTCGCTTGGTTTGGACTCGCTGCCCCAGAGCTCTGTGTGAAAGTACTCGCTTGGTTGACCTGGTTGGTTCAAAAACCTCGTACCTTGAGGAAAGGTGTCAGAGGAGTTCCAACAAAAAAGCGGAGTTTGCCTTGCGTCCTCATCCTTCCCTTTTCACTGCAGCCTCCATAGCTCCCACGCCATCACGCCACCTTGACTAGAGTTTCATGTGTCGGCTCGGCTGTGCTGTTGTTTTCATTGGGAACCACAGGTGCAGCACTGTTCAAGGTAGAGATTCTACTCCTTGAACTGGATACATGGTTGTCATGGTTGTGGCTCCAAAATGAAGGCCCAGAACCGTACGTCAGTGGCATGGTCGATTTAGGCTTTGCAGGAACGGCGGTATGGGATGGCACAGGAGACACAGCCACATTCTAAGGGTTTGATCCATCCTCATTAATCATTGGAGTCATAACCTCATTAGTCCGCTGCAGCATGCAAGGCGCACTATTCGTCACTATTCAGTCAAAAATATACGCTGCATACTGGAGCCAGCCCATTTAAAAAGATGGAGGTTCAAACCCGCAGAGACATCTGGTGTGAAGGTACAAAACCCGCCACTGGTGGGCTCTAGTGAGGAAAGAACGAGCAAGAGAGGCAGTGATCTGGATTGAGGAGCCTGATCCCATGACAAAACGACCAATGGCACATAGAAGGTTGTGAGGTCTAAAGCTGGAAAGCTGGACTGACAATGCAAACAGTCTCATGACGTCTCATGGACAACTCCATGAATCCCGGTGATCCTCCCAAGCCGGCCTTCGACACGGTGGAGAGCTTCGCACAAAAGACCCGTAGATCCAAGCGGAGAAGCGAAGCGTCGCTTCTCTCGGCTGCTAGGGAGGCGCATCTGTCACATCTGGCTAGAATCCTTGCATCACCTCCTATCCTTGCATCAGGCCTCTATGCTGTGAGGCGCCGCAATCGATGTACAAACAGATCGCGGAGAACGGGACGGCCACAACCGCTCCTGCCACAACCCCTCCGCAAGGACTGCGACAGCCGTCAAGTTTCCGGTTCTCCTGGTCATGGGCTTTCAATTGATCTTCAAATCCTGAGCACGAGGTGTTCCGCACAGAAAGACCATGCCTGCCCCACAGAGACACGAAGCGTGAACGGGCCACCTTGAGTTGGAAGAAGCCTGCTATGGGCAAACAGCTGCCAGGTATCAAGGCACATGCCACACGTATCATCAGCAGCCTTCCTTTAGCAGCAGCCTGAAGTGCATCTTCAACTCTCTGAAATTGCCGACCGTCAGCTCATTGGACATACTTCTAGCAGCACACTTCAAACGCTGAAAAAAGCACGGCATGTCTGCATCCTTCTCATATGAGACTGAAGCTGATTCTCAGCAACCTGGCTGGAGTTCACCTTCCTGAAGTTGGACCTGCTGCCCTTGTTTGGTCTTGGCCACTCTGCTTTCCGTTTGGTCTAGGTCCCGCAGCTCATCTTCCCGTCTCAAGCTGATCTTGCGTGCGCCATCGTATTCTTTGGGGAGACGTGGACTCCTCTTCCTGTACATGTTGTTCCTCTGCTGCCCGGCGACCGTTCCCACTCCAGGACTCTGCGACTCCGGGTCTCGGCGTCCGTCGGCCTGAGGGAAGTGTTCGGCTTTTCAAAGCAGCAAACAGATGGTGTCGCACTGTGTACCCAATCCATTTGAGAGAAACGAGCAAACATCAAAGGACGACTGATGATGTTAGGTGATCAAAGGACTCAGTTGGGTGGTTGAAAGATCATGAAATAGTGATACAAACTTGCTGACCTATTCACCTGGGGATTTGATTTGGGACCGCAAACGAATTCTGATCATCATTCCTGTAGAGAAGCTAACTTCGATCTAGCTGATGTTTGCAATACTTTCATCTGGATGAACCCCTAAGACTAGGCATGACAGTCATGAGCTCGCTTTCTTCATGTGTCTTGAACCATGTCAATGTCCCGCTCGCGTCCTTCGGTCGTTCGTGCCTCCGCTTTCATCACCCCCACGAGCCGTTCGTGGCGCAGTCGGTCGAGCGCCAGACCTTCATGCCCTGCAAGGCGGCGATCTTGGGCTTGCGACCCACCTTGAAGTTGGCGTGGTACGAGACCTCGGTCCGAGGCCAACGATACAGTCAGGCTGTAAAAAGAAGCCCGACTGGCCAGCTCACTCGTCAGTCATGACCTTGTAGAGAGAGGACCTCGTATGTCTTACGGGGTCCCACAATCCAATTCAGGATCCACTGGGTGTCACAGTCCATGCGTTGGGAGATCTGTGGCCCCAGCAAACTGGCTTTGTGATAACCATCAGGGGCATGTTGCTTGAGTTCAGGTGGCACGCTTGCATAGCTTGCGCGCCAAGACAGAGTACGCTGCCTGTACATCAGTGCTAAAAGATTCGACCGAAGCCCTGCTTCCACCAGCAGGCTGCCAGCAGGCTGCCAGGCTGCAAGGACTGAAGCATCACCTCCACCTGTACAAAAGCATACTGAGCTCAAAAGGGCTTTGCTCTTGGCCTCCATTGCTTTACAGTGCTTTACAGTGCTTTACATGAAGAAGGACAACAGCCCGATGTCACTCTTGCTCCGCTTGATGCTCGGCATGCAAGCCTCCTCATCCACTTCCAGAAATGTCTTGCGCACCACAACTTTGGTTGGGAGCTCCTTACTGCACTGGTCCTGCCCCGAGGCATCCACTGCAAAATGTGCAGAAGCCTCTTCAATCAAGCTGGGCGCAGTCCGTCCACCGTTTGCAAAGCGGTAGGCTGACTTTTGGCTCCGCATGACTTCTAGGACACGATGTCGCACCTCTTCCCAGCGTGCACGAGGAACTACGCATTGATAGGGCACCAAGGGCTGTCCATCCAATTGGTCGAAGGTCTCCATCGGCAGTCCGAGCCCTTCAGTGAGTTTCCGCAAGTACTGCGCGCAGCGGAAGTCGCTGCACCTTAAGCTGTAGCGCCTCCAAGTTGAGGTGCCAAAGCGCTCGTGGCTCATGGTAATGACCTCAGGCTCATCCGGCTTGGCCGGAAGCAGCGGTGGCCCTCGACGGAAATTTTGCAATGACAGGATGATATACAAGTTCGCATCCGCAGCACGCATCAATTTGAGTCCAGGCCGGTTTGCATAATATTCAAGAGCCCTGTGTGTGGTCTGGGCCATCACTTTGAAGAATTCGGAGGCCCACTTTGCCCACTTGTCTCCAGGCGTGCTATACACGAGCACCATTCGGAAGCCCCTGCCATCCTTTTCCTTGCGCCAAATCATCATGTTCTCTTGCCCAATCCCATCATGATCTTGGAAACACGCATACGTGCTATCACCGGCTTTGGGGAAGTTCTTACGGCATTGGTGCCGCGCCAAGACGGGCGTTTCGTTGTAGAAGAAGTGGTTCCATGCGGGTCCGGCGAAAGAACCAAAGAGCAAGGCCGCCGCACGATGGAAGAAGTGATGGCTGGATTGCTCCACCAAGGCGTCTCCCGGTGCCAAGGTCTTGATCCAACGAATGGACATGGCATCCATCGAGCGATCGTGCATCTGCCCGCTCACTTCGGGCCTCACCATCACATCGCATGCCTGGTCGGGCGCGTTTTGGTTGAGGTCGAAGTTCTGCACCTCGAACCTCACGAGATGGCCAGGAGCATGAAGATGGGAGGGACGATGAGATAAGGTGACTCCGGAGTGGGACGCGGCCAGCTCCCAGCTTGATTCAGAGATGAACTCATTTGCCATGCTGAACCATGCATTGATCCTCTCCCGTGTTGCCACCATTGTAGTAGCTTTTTCTTCAGCTGTGGTAGCTTGAGCCAAACAACGGGAGAACTTGTCCAACAACAAATGCGTACCAGGGAAGCGACTGTTGATTCTACTCAATTCACTACTTCACAGTGTTACTTCTGGTTTGAATGGTAGATTGGCTGGACCCACCACCAATTCTTCGCCCCATGTCCCACCGCCGCAGTGCTGCAGTGCTGCCAGATCACTGGACCATGTTCATCTCTCTTGCCCCAGCCGGTGCGATGCACGTAGGGATCCATTTCGCAATACTCCAGGATCTCTGCCTAAGATCAAAGGCTTTCAGGTGCCCCCATCTGATCCCCAGGGACCGAAAATGACGTCGAAAGTGCTTCCGCAAGGCGTCCAGGATCTGGTTCCGCAACTCTCCGATGTCTCACCGCTGGCTGGTTTGAAATGAGCGCAAACACTTCCCGGATACGGCTTCTGTGAACTTTCTGTGCAAAAAAGTATACTGTGTTACGCAAAATTGTACAATTCCTGGACCCTGTAGTAGATTGAAAAAGGAAAATTACTGTTTCTATGTTCACACTCACCCGTTGTGACGCCACCCCCCTTCTTGCGCAAAACTGGTGCGCGTGGCCTGGGCACTGCTGTTGCACTGGCTCTCCTGGCATCAAAACAAAGTGACAACCGAATGGTGTGTAATTGGATGTAATTAATGAGAACATTTAGATTGGTTGACCATACGCGCAACCAATGCATTTGGTCGATCTTCCCAAAAATCCAACTGGGGGTCGTCAAAGGCTGCCGGCTTAGCTGGTCCACCGAATATTCCGATTTCGAAGTGAATATGGGGCGAATCCACCGAATACCCGCGTGGTACGCAGAAGTGGTACGGAGAAGTGAAGCCAACTTGGGCGATCACAACCCACAAAATCCACACATCAACCAGCCACAGTTTCAACAGCCAGCACAGCCGCAACGAGTTGCAGCCCTCGCCAGTCAACCAACTTGCCATGAAACCTAGGGACCTTCGCGGTAAACGGCTACGAAGGTAAACAACCACCGCAGCCTTTTGGCCAAAGAGAGAGTACCCCAACAGCAAAAGCTTTGTTGTGCTGATTGAAATCGAAAAAGAAACACAAACGGCAAACGGTTTGCTTTTTGTCACATATTCCCCCTTTCCAGCACATCCGTCCTGACGGCACATCCGGAAGCAGGGCGAGACGTTCACCTTCCGGAGCCGCCGCAGAGCGCTCCAGAAGTTGGGCTGACCATCCATGTTCGGCCGCTGGCGACACTCCTGAGACATGAAGCCCTGAGTAACTTCTAGTAAGGCACCTGTTCCTAGTAGCGTGGCACTTGTTCCTAGTAGC